TTAATACCAGGAGTGGTCATTTGACATAGTTTTAGCTAATGAGATATAAATAAAAGCCTACTTCAGAGTTTTCAGGAAAACCATTGTTTTACTGTTAAAACAATGCGCCTATGCTCCTCTTCATCTATTCATATTTTTATTCATATTTTAAATGTATATGTTTTGTAAGATCCAGTACTTTATCTTCTTCTTGCTCTATATACAGTAATCTCATCTTCACCTACAGATTTTATCATCACATATACATCATTGTATTAGTCAAGGTTCTCCAGAGAAACAGAACTAATAAAGATATATATGAAGAGATTTATGATGGACAGTGGCTCATGTGATTATGGAGGCTGAAATATGCTAAAATATACCATCTGCAATTTGAAGAACCAGGAAAGCCAGTCGGACACCAAAGGCCTGAGAAACATGGGGGCTACTGGTACAAGTCATGAGTCGAAAGGCCTACAAACCAGGAGCTTCAATGTCGGAGGGCAGGAGGGAATGGATGTTCCAGGCTTAAGAGAGAAAATTTGCCTTTCCTGTGCCTTCTGTTCTATTCAGGCCCTTGAGGACTGAATGATGCCCACCCACACAGGTGAGGGCGCATTTTCTTTACTCAGTCTAGTGATTCAAATGCTAATCTCTTCCAGAAACATCTCTTCACAGACACACTCAGAAATAATATTTTACCAGCGATCTGGGCATCCCTTAGCCCAGTCAAGTTGACACATAAAATTAACCATCATAATGATTATGCCAAAGGATTTTCTTTGGAATTTTCAAACAGTATTTCTGGCTATCCCATACGCATCTCAAATGTGAACTTATCCTTTTCCCAAAATATATTTTTCATCTTGCTTTTCATATCCTGGTTAACAATATCACAATCTACCCAACCATCCACATGGGACAATCTTGGCTCTTTGACACCTTCCACATCCATATTCCACATCTGCGTCTTACTGCTTTTATTCCTTTAATTTCTTTTTGGTATTTTAGTCATTTCTCTGCCTGACCTAGAACCTTTGATTCTTTCTATAATCTCTTCTCCACATTGTGAACCCCACAAGAGCAGAAAGTGTAACTTGTTGACTTCTATGACTCTAGCTAGCCCAGGTATAAGGCTCTTGCTAAATCTTTCTTGTCTGGCTGATTAAAACTAATATTTTAATCTGTGATTAAGCACTTACAGGTCCTTAATGACTTCTAATCACTTATCTAAACACCCTAGCATCATGTAAAAGATATTCCATCTTTCCTTTGTGTAGATTTGTTTGTCATATATAATAGATGTACTCAGATGCTTAACATTTTTAAGGCCATCAGTCTGCTTTTACATTTTTTTTGTCACTTCCCTCGATACACCTGTCCGCTACTGCTTATTCTATCAGTGTGCTTGCTCCCACCTGCCTTGTCTTCCTTGATAATCTGTTGCTTTTATGCTGCCATAGGCAGGAAAAAAAGGGACTGACTGAAAATTCAAAGGGCTGCCTTCTGGGTAAAGTTCATGAACATCAGTGTACAAAAATTATAATTTCTCATTTGATTTGTCACAACTTTCCCCCCTTATTTCCTACTTCTTGGTTATATTACAGAGATGAAAGGTTGTTGGATAAATGTCTTTTCGACAAAGTGAGGTAGAGTTATATATAGCAATTTAAAAAATAAAATTAGAGGGGTCAATGAGGGAAAAAGGGGGGACATCTGTATACTTCCAACAACAAAGACTAAATAAATAAAAATAAAAATTATATGTTATCTCTGCATATATTTTCCATATAAGGGAACTAGCCCATTTGTAAATCAATAATCCAGTACTTAAATCTGAACCAACTATAAGTGCCTCTCTCATTCCTTCTGTTTTCTTGCACTTCAGCCCGTCCTTTCTTATCCTACTTTATTACCATTGCAATCTCAAGTATACATGATAGGTGTAGGGTAATGCAAAGAACCATAAGAGAGGAGTCTAGAAACATCTTAAAGTTTTTAATTCCCTATGCCATAATTTTTAGTAAAGAGATCATGTGAAATCAGCCTGGCCTATAGATACCTTCTCTCTCCTGTCCCCATTTAAGGTAACCAAATTAGGACTATTATTTAAATAATTCTATCACTGATGTTTTTAAAAGGGGACCTGTTTGTTCATAAGCTATTTGACTGTTTTCCTAAACAAAAGCAAAAACTAAATCCCTAAATCCACTGGACAACCCTAGCTGCAAGTGAGCTGATTATCACTGCCAAAACAGGACAAATATTTAGTCATTAGGAAACACCTTAAATGACAACACTCATAAGAGGTGTCCATTAGACCATGTATATGCAAAGATAAAGACACATGAGAAAAGCAAATGAGCAAATATACGTAATCCGTTAGAAATTCCCAGTTAGAATAAACTGTGCAAGTCTGGCATGGAGGAATGCAGCAGAAGCTCCCATTTCAGCTGAGGTTTATCCTGCTCATCTCAAGTCAGAGCCAATAATCCCAGTGATCCCAAGAATGATGATAAATGTTTCTCCTCATTTACAAAGAGCCAACTGGCAGAGCCTTTGCCAATGGGTCAATTCCTGGTCTTAGTAACATGATACAAATAAAGCTCTTCTGATTTAATGCTGGTGGGTCTTGTGCCTCGAGTTGTTTCTCATTAGCAGAGATAGATTTACACCCATCCTCCTGCTTTCTGGCTCAGTGCCTTTTACAACCACCTGAATGCACTTAAGAGACAGAAGGATGACATTAACATTTAGGAAACAAAACCAAGCTACCTGACCCATGGAAGTCTGACCTTAACATCTGTCAAATGCCAGGTTGAGAGTCCTGTGCCTTCAAAGCCAATGGAAGAACATCTACAAGGGTTTATATTAAAAAACAGGCTGTCACAGCACACCTTTGCTGGATTCCACAAAGATGTGTGTGTGTGTGTGTGTCCCTTGATTTGATTCTTAGTCCAAGCAGATCTAAATCTTAAGTATATTTTAGGTCTCTGCCTTTTTCTATTTATGTCTTCTAGTTTTTACTGTCATTTGGACGACTTTTTGTCCTTGGCCAATCTCTGATTCAACTTTTGCTTTATTTACTAGGTCTCATTGACCTGCTTGTACCCTCTTCTGTGTCTAGTTTCAACTTCCAGCAGCTTTTGTTGTAGCTCTTCCATGACAATCTGTAGAGACTTTGATTTATGATGCAACATAAGATATGGAGAGCTACATTAGAACAGTGTAAACTGGTTTATCAGGCCCTATGACTTCCCATCTTCTAAAATGATTTTATTTGTAGGGTTTTTAGTTGAAGCTGGCTGACATCTATGAATTATGACCTATAAGTAAGAATCTTGTAATAGGAAAAGCTAGAAAGTAATATTTATTCTCTCACTTTCCATCCTTTATGTTTATAACCTGGTTGCTGAGTATCCATGGGAGAAAGTGCTTCATTTACAAGGTAAATAATAATTTAAGAAATAATTTGGATGAGACGACATGGAGAGACCTGGAAAGTATTATCCTAAACGAAACAAGCCAAGCAGAAAAAGACAAATACCACATGATCTCACTTATTTGCAGAATATAATGAACATAACAGTTTGAGGAATAGGGTAGACTCAGAGACGTTGAAGTAGGGTACAGACTGACAACCCTTGGAAGAGGGGTGGTGGGGGGAGGGAGAAGATAAACAACAGAACTTATGTACATGTATGCATAACCAATGGACTTGGACAACAAAGCTGGGGATGGGGTGGGGGGGATGGGGAGGAGGGTGTCAATGGGGTTAAAAAGGAGAAACATCTGTAACAAAAATAAAAAAAAGAAATAATTTGGAGTTATTATTTCACAAAAGTGAAAAGAGAATGATAACCCCATTAATTGATAGAAATGTAAGAAAAAAATCTCAGTATTTTTTCCTCAAGTAATTAATGACATTATATGTGACCTAAGTGATAGCTATAATTTTCAGATTGACTCTTAGCTAAGAGCTATTTGTTCATACCAGCACTGAGGAGGCTTGCACCCCTACAAGTTGCCGATTTATATATTTTAACTCCTTCTTTACTTTCAACACCTAGAATATAGTGCTTTTCAACTGTTATTGAATTATTTCATTGCAGAGGCAATGTGTTTCTTGTAAGGATTAAATCATCTGAAACACAACCTAACACACAGTATAGTTATTTGCTAGTATAACATTAAAATTATAATAATGGATTAGTAGGAAGATGGTGCTGGATGGGATTTAGCCAGAATATCTGGATTTGCTCTGGGGCCTATTGCTCCTTCTCTCTGTGTCGAGGGAGCTATATGCACAACAGGAACTAAACAATACAAAATAAACTTGTTAGCTAGATCTTTGGCGCCAAACCCTAACATAAAACACCAGAAAAAGGCTCAAATTCCACTTCTTTAAGTTAAAGGCCATAGAAACCAACAGCCAAAGCAACTCAGTTGGCAAGTATTTTCTCTCCTTCCTTTCCCATCCCCTCTTCACACTCAAGTCTTGACATTTGGCATTCCAGTAGTATGAAAATGACACATGCCAGAGCTAAAGAACAAACATTAGCTATCCACCCCAGACCTTCTTATGCCAGGGCAAGACAATGTGCTTAAGTGTGTGAGCTTAAGTCAGTGACACAGACACTGACTGTGTCACCTGGGAAAAAAGAAAGAAAGGGAGAGGAGAGAAGGGGAAGGTGGTTTAGGCTTCTACCAAGTGCTAAGCCTAACTCCCATAACTTCATGGATGCACAGTAAAGACGAGAAAGAACTGGTTCAGTTTTGAAGGTGTAGCACTAGCACTTAGCACTCACTGCTATCCCAGTCTTGGTAGGGCACTAGCCATGACTACTACAATGTTTCTTAAACCAAACCAAACCAAACCATAAAAAATTCCCCTTGTGGCCCTGGCCAGGTGGCTCAGTTGGTTGGAATGTCGTCCTGTACACTGAAAAGGTTGTGAGTTTGATTCCTGGTCATATCTAGGTTGCGGTCCCAGGTTGGGGCACATATAGCAGGCAACTGATTGGTGTTTCTCGTTTCTCTCTCTTCCCCTTGTGGACTGAGAGCTCAACAGACTAGAAGAGTACTACCTTTGCCTTTGGTAAGCATCTGTCTTCCAGGATGGTGAAGACGATTGACAATGATGTATGTAATACATGTGGCACATAGTAGGTTCTCAAATTGTAGTTTTTTTCATTTTGCTACTATTATTATTAAATCTTGTATGCTAGATGCTGAAACAGAACTGAATGAAAAAGAAAAAATTATGTAGTGCTTGATATAAAAATTGCATTTTCCAGAACTGTAGCAAAAATTGACTACTTAGAACTTAAAACCATAAAAGTGGTTTATTTTCAGCCTTCTCTATAATTGGTGGCTACAGGTGGTCAAATACAGTACTTGGGTGTAGATTTAAGAAACTTAAAATTAGTACAGAATCTGACAGCTATGTTTCATCTAGATTTACGTCACATAGAGTTTGGCTGGGATGTTAGCCAAGAGAGATTTGCTATAGTTTCATGCGATAAAATTATGGTATGAATCATCATCTCTCGTTTATTCAAGTAGAGTTTTTCAAAGGATTTTTAAAAGACAAATGCAGTTCATAATTTGATGTATATGTGTTTCTGCAATTTGATTCTTTAATTTCAAACAGTGTGGTGGAGAGGGCATGTAGTATCTACAGCTACATGTTTGGGTGTATCAGATGAGAAGTAAAGGAATGAAAAAACATGTTGTTCTTTTCTTTCTATTTAACAGGAGGCAGAGGTTCTATATAAAAAGAGGCTTGACATTTTCCAGGCTAAATTATTATTTATAGTAAAAACAACACAAAAAATATAGATATCTTTGTAAGCAAGGACTTTAAAAACCAATTATCATGGGCTTTTGACAGTGTAAGACAAATGCACAATATTGGAAGAGCTCATATGGAGATCATCATCCAGTACTGCAGCCATAAAACAGTCAGGTCCCACCTTAGAATTCTGACATTTGCTATGGAGATGAAAACTTGGGTTTTAAAAGATCAGTCCAATAAGATTGTATCAGAGTAACTAGGAATTTTTTCATTTACACTGGAATTTTTGGTTGATAAGCTTTCACAATATGCCAAAATAATCTTTAATCTTTAACGTTATAACCTCTAGGTATTAGCATCTGGCATTCTACTGATGTTAATTTAGTGTCCTTAACAGTCATTTAAAAAAGTATTAGAAAAAGAGAGTTAAGATAAAGCCCAATCTAACTCCTATAATTTAAGTAAGATGTGTTATTTAGACTGACTCTGTATAAACCTAAACATCAGCTAGTATTACAGCCATAAAACATGTAGGTTATCTGGCTGGTTTGTCTCAGTGGGTAAGAGTGTCAGCCCTCAGACTGAAGGGTCTTGGGTTTGATTTCTGGTCAAGAGCATGTTGCAGGTTCGATTCCTGACCCTCATCAGGGTTGTGCAGAGGGCAACCAATCAAGGCCTCTCTCTCACATTGACATGTCTCTCTCACACTGACGTTTCTCTCTCTCTCTCTCCCCTTCCCTTCCTCCCTTCCACCCTTTCTAAAAAATCAATGGAAAAATATCTTTGGGTGAGGATTAACAAAATAAAATAAAATAAATAGTAACAAAAAAAAACCCCACAAAATTTTCTTGAAAATTTTACTATAACAAATTGCTCAACTTTCATAGTCTTGATGAAATTTTTGTTTTGCAAAAGTCCTCTGTAATCAAGATTAATGAACTTTTATAATGAACTCTCAAACAAATCTTTTTAATATATAACTTATTTCTAGAGATGACAATAGCATTGCTATGATATTGTTTTTTTTTTTATTCAAATATACTGTTGTCAAGATTTATGGTTATTAGCAAATCTTTTTTTTTTTTTTTCTTTATTGATTTTAGAGAGAGAGGAAGGGAGAGGAAGAGAGAGATAGAAACATCGATGAGAGAGAACATTGACTGGCCACCTACTGCATGCCCCCCACTGGGGATTTGGTCCATAACCTGGGCATGTGCCCTGACTGGGAATCAAAACGGCAACCTCTTGGTGCATGGGTTGACACTGAACCACTGAGCCACACCGGCTGGGCAGCAAATCTTTATTTTTAATACTCTGTTAAGGCAAGATAGAAACATGATACTTTAAAATTTCTTTCCTACAAACTATTTTATAGTAAACTTTTTTTTTTTTTTATTTGAAAGAGAGAGAAAGGGAGAGAGAGAAAGATCATATGTTGTTGTACTTATTTATGCATTCATTAGTTGATTTTTATATGCACCTTGACCAGGTAATTGAACTCACAACTTTAGCATATTGGGATGATGCTCTAACCAACTTGGCTATCTGGCCAGGGCAAAGTATTTTATAGTAAAAAATTATTTAGTTTTAATCCTCACCATAGGATATTTTCCCATTGATTTTTAGATAGAGGGTAAGGGAGGGAGAAAGGGGAGAGGAAGGGAGGGAGGGGGGAGGGAGGGAGAGAGACAGAGAGAGAGAGAGAGAGAGAGAGAGAGAGAGAGAGAGAGAGAGAAATATCAACGTGAGAAAGACACATCAATTGGTTGCTTCCTGCATGACCTGGACTGGGGCGGGGGATCAAAGAACCTGCAACCCAGGTAAGTACACTTGACCGGAACAGAACCTGAGACCTTTTGGTCGGTGAGCCCATGCTCTAACCACTGAGCCAAACTGGCCAGGGCTATTTGGTATTTTGTATTCTTATGCTAAAATTCTAAAAGCAATCTTTAGTCCCATCTGAACTTGGTACTCCAAGATTTAAAATTGTTTTTAATGATATTTACATAATAAATATAATTTTAATCACTAAGTTCTTCTTCATCACTGAAATATGTGCTTTTCTTTATCCTTGGGCGTCTTGAATCATCAGATGTTGAGGGACCCCCTGAACTGGGTTTCCATTTTTTTTGTTCTTCTTCAATTTTGGCTTGCTGTGAGTCAGAAAACAAACAAAACAAAACCAGGAACCTGTTTAATATTATTTATGGTGCACTAATTCAAAACAATGCAAAACACACACCACGTGCCCACACTCCCTACCCTCCCAGCCCATGCAAACAATTCTCCTCCATCAGGATGCTCCTCCCACATTTCCAAATTATATCCCAGTCTCATCATTAGACAATTTCTATTAATTAACAGGTACAGAAAATGAAGCCTACTTTTCATTCTTGCTGGAGGTAGGAATGTTATATAAACCATAACATTAGTTAACTAAAAGGGAAAATAAATTGGCATATACATTTACCATTTATTAATTACATTAAAACGAAATATCTGGTTATACAAAAATTAGAAAATTATGTACCCTTTTTATTTTTTATTATTATTATTTTTTATCCTCACCTGAGGACATTTTTTGATATTTTGTTCAGATAGAGAGGGAGGGGGGGAGAGAGAGAGAGAGAAACATTGACGTGAAAGGGACACATCGAGTGTTCGCCACCCACACAACCCAACCAGCGCCGGGGACAAACTGCAACTGAGGTACATGCCTTTATTGGGAACCGAACCCAGGTCTCTCCAGACCGCAGGCCGACGCTCTAACCGCTGAGCCAAACCGGCCAGGGCTATGTGCCCTTTTTAAATAAATGCTTCATATATTTGTATTAGGGCCTTTAAATGGTCAAAAATATGTTTTTGGTCTTGTTTTGAAGCGAAGTTTCTTTTCACATATATCGTCTCAATATCTTTAATAAAATATTTTCTGTCAGGCTAAATTCACTTTAATCAAACAGTTCTCAATTCTATAATGAAAACAAATCAATATATTAAATGTGTTGTACAGCCCTTAAAATCTAGAGTCAATAGGAACTTTTCTATCATACTGTTCTTAGCACCTTGGAAAAGCAGCCTGTTTCCTGAAGTTTAGGAAGTGAAGGAGAAGGACAGGTTGCCATGAGGAGATGATCAATAAAGTAAACAAGGAATACAAAACTGTAAACCCAGGTAGCTGCAGCATGGTGCCTTTTTATTTATTTATTTTTTTATCCTCACCCGAGGAGAGAGAGAGAGAGAAACATCGATGTGAAAGAGACACATCGAGTGGCTGCCACCCACATGACCAAACAGGGCAGGGGATAAACTGCAACTGAAGTTCGTGCCCTTAGCGGGAACCAAACCCAGGTCTCTCTGGACCGCAGGCCGACGCTCTAGCCACTGAGCCAAACTGGCCAGGGCACAAGGTGCCTTTTTAAAGAACTACTTAGTACCTGGAAAGCTATGGCCTGACTGAGGCTGTCAAGAGCAGGATCTTCCCCTTCATCTTCACTTTCTTCTACTTCTTCACTAAATTAAAAAAAAAAAATTTAGAATGTACTTAATGAAGAGTCAAGCGATAGAAGCAACACTAAAATGTGTTTAGTAAGAGTGGATATACATACATTTCTTCTTCTGGTTCAGGAATTTTCTTTTTTTTCTTTTTCTCTTTCTTCTTTGGAGGCTCACGTTCTCCAAGCATATTTTTAGGACAGGCATAACTTAAGTGTCCACTTTCCTTGTGTTTCCATTGAATAGGAAAGGAAAAAGACTGCATTTGTTGTGTTAGTCACAGAAACCTGCCTGATACCCAAAGACTAAAAGGTTTTAAAACTTAAAAAAATATATTGTCACACTGGGAACATACATGAAGAAATTAACAAAACCCATTAATATTTAGAAGGAGATTATACCTACTAATAAACTACTTGAACAATAAGGGAGTATTTTAGAAGTTTGCTAAGAGTGAAAGGAGTATTCTTTCTTCAAATATTTTAAATATCAAGACTCATGATAGAAAATAATTCAAAATTTAAATGGACTATCTACCTTCAATGTAAGAATTTTAAGTTATTATTTGATAAAATTGGAACACAACTATTCCTAACTTTCAAGATGTTGCTTAACATTGTTTTAAAAACAAATGAAAATTAAAGTTTCCTCACTTTTCCTATTAATTTCATTTTGCTTCTTTCATATTTAGACTATCCCTACATTGTCCAACTATAGTAGCCACTAGCCATAATTTTTTTGTGGTTAGCGAAAACCTGTCTGAATTGATATGCACTATCAGGGTAAAATACATAAAGGATTTTGAAGATAATATAAAAAAGTGTAAAGTATCTTAATTTTTAAAAATATTAATTACAACAGTTCAAATGATAACATTTTAGATATACATTGGATTAAGTAAAATATTTAAATTTTACTTGTTTATTTTTTAATGTGGCTACTAGAAAATTTTAAATTATATTTGTGGCTTACATCATGTTCATATTTCACAGTGCTGGACTAGCCATAAAATTATAATAAGCCATATCACTGACTTGTAAAATATAAGACAATGTACTATAATGTGCTCATTAGCTCAATAAAATACATTTAAGAAGTAATATGTGAGAATGAAGTGTAATTGAGCCAAGAGGGAGAGACTGAGCTAGGATCAGAACAATAGAAAAGAAAAATAATCATGCTTTTAAAGACTATTTAACAAAGCTTCAAACAGACTGTGTACTTTGTATACCTGGGGACATGGCTGAATCCAACAGGTATTATTGTTAATGAACTACTGAGAGAATGTACTTAGAGAAGCATTTTCCAAACTGTTCTTGAAATAAGGGTATACCAAAAAACTAAGATGTTCTATATTTAAAATAGTGAAATCATTTTGGAAAAAAACAGGCTAAATAAATGTAAATATAATTTTTTGGGGGGAAATTTTTATAAAGAAATATAAAAATGTACAAAGTATAATATAACAAACCTGTGGATTCATAAATCAAAATGACATAATAACACATTCATACAGGATTTCTCAGATTAATATTTACTGTGAATATGAGCATACATACTAATCTGTCTGACCATAACTGCTCCTTCCTCCCTGTTTTTCCTTTTTAAATAAAACTCAGGACTCTGGAATAGTCTCTGAAACATTAACTTAAGAGGTATTAGAATCACAGGACTTGACAAATGCTTGCCCTCTCTTTTCTTCCTCCTTCCCTCTCTTCCTCCCTCTTTCCTTCCTTCCCATCCATCCATCCATCCATCCATTTAGTTTGGGGGTGAAGAGATAGAGAGTGGCAGAGGGGAAAGGATGCTAAACCATTTCCTTGTATCTTCATGATTTTGTGGACTAGGACAATGTCTCTCCCCAGCTTTCCATTACTACCTCTAGACCCTGTTTTTTTTAAAGTATTTTATACAGGCATTTTGAAAACTGACAGCAATGAGATCCTGACTGAAGTTCTCTCAGTATCATTATTGGCCTTAAGCAAAATTGTTCACTGGCTTGCTCTCGTTTGCTCTCTCTCTCTCTCTTTTTTTTTTTGTTAATCCTCACCCGAGGCTATTTTTCCATTAATTTTTAAATTTTTATTTTTTAGATAGAGTGGAAGAAAGGGAGAGAGAGAAAGAAACACCAATGTGAAAGACACATCAACTGGCTGCCTCCCGCACGACCCCGACCAGGGCCGTGGATTAAACCTACAACCCACATGTGTGCCCTTGACTAGAAATTTAACCTGAGACCCTTTGGTCCATAGGCAGATGCTCTAACCGCTTAGCCAAACCGGCCAGGGTGGCTATATCTCTCTTAATCACCAAAAGAGTAAATGGCTAATGTTAGATGGTGAGAACGCATTAGCAGCACTAGTAGGAAAAATCATTAGCAGTACTAACAGGGAAAAAAAACCAAACATAATATTTCAGAGGACAGGTCATATGATAATGTTTATACTGAACTATGATGCTGAAACATTGACAAAATATTACAGAAACAGGCAATATCCTATTAACACAAATATTTACGGGTCACTAAAATCTTTCAAGACAATACTATAAGTAATTAGTCGATATTTTTTAATCTAACAATTTTCAAAGACTTAGAAACTGGAGAAAATACCACTCTATATCACCCAACTCAGGTTGTCTTTACAGACTACATTTCAATTGAATTTACTTAGAGGAGTTGAGTCCCAAATTAAAGTAATTTTCAAAACCTGGTTTTAGCCATCCAGAAGTTGTGGAGGGACAAAAATAAAACAGTGATGTGAAAAAAACATGTAAACTATGGAAAATTACATTAAGTTTTAAGTATACTCACCCCACATTCATAACACTTGGATTTATCAAAGTAGTTTCGTCTTCGGATGAACTCGGCTGCTCTTCCATTGTCAATAGCAATGCTCGCTTTTATCACTCTACCAAATAACTAAACCAGAGAAAAATGTAAATGCAGAAGGATGTATTCATTGATCCCATTTCCTCAAACCTTCAATTCTACTTTATTTTTTAGATTATTTTAGCAATTGCCTACTTAGGTGTGACAAATTCTACTCTGTAGAATAGATTCTTCTTCCTTATTCTACCAATGTTTTGGGAACCCAGAACAGTTTTGGCATCTTTTTCCCCCCATAACTTAACCTCAGAACCTACTGATATCCATCAAACTTGACCATCCACTACATCCCCACATTTTTGGCCTGGACAAGCACAAAGGCTTTTTTTGGGTTAAAAACCTTATTGGGAATAAGAGGTTTACCTGTTTGTTGTTTATTGCCCTGGTACAGTTTTGTGCAGAGTCTTTATCCAAAAATAAAATAAATGCAACACCTTTACTCTTCCTGGTATCTTTATCTTTCATTATAGTAACCCTTAAAGCATAAAAAAATAGTTAAAAATAATGAGGCAGTAATCAATAAAACAGATAATAACTTGGAAGATTCCAGTGTTTACAAAGGGTTAATAAAACATTTCCAGAGTAAGAGAAATGAATACGTTTGACAACTAGCAAGTATGGATGTTTATAAAGACATCATATTGTATACCTTAAATATATACAATTTTTGTCAGTGATACCTCAATATTAAGTTAAAAATGTTTGTAAATTAAAAAATAAAAACTCTAGATCTGTTTTCCAGCTGAAAAAAAAAAAATGGAAATGAGAAAGTGTGATACTGATTTTTTTTTTTTTTTTTTTTATCCTCACCCGAGGACATTTTTCCATTTTTTGTACAGATAGAGTAGGAGGGAGAGAGAGGAAGGGAGAGAGAGAGAGAGAAACATCGACATGAAGGGACACATCGAGTGGCTGCCACCCGCACGACCAACCAGGGCCGGGGACAAACTGCAACCGAAGTACGTGCCCTTAGCGGGAACCGAACCCGGGTCTCTGCGGACCGCAGGCCGACGCTCTAACCGCTGAGCCAAACTGGCCAGGGCGATACTGATTTAATACTAGTGAACATAAGTATGATTAGGAGTATCTGATAAATCAAACTGTAATCAGAGACTTAAGGATGAAGCAGATTACAGAGAGAGTCTCAAATATGCATAATTCCTCTTCTCTACTAACTCTCTGTAGAAAAAAACAAAACAAAACTGAGGTATTCTCTTCTACTCTACACAAAAAGTAAAATGACGTCTTTTTTTGGGTTTTAGAATCATATATATATATATATATATATATATATATATATATATATATTTTTTTTTTTTTAAATTCTCACCCGAGGACATTTTTGCATTTATCTTCAGATAGAGTGGGAGGGACAGTGGGAGGAAGAGAGAGAGAGAAACATCGATGTGAGAGAGGCACATCGAGCGGTTGCCACGCACATGACCCCAATTGGGCCTGGGGACAAACTGCAACTGATGTATCTACGAGCCCTTAGCAGGAACCAAACCTGGGCCTCTCTGGTCCGCGAGCTGATGCTCTAACTGCTGAGCCAAACCGGCCAGGGCTCTAACTATATTCTTAAAATACTTTTAAAGACTCTCCAGCGCTGTGGTTCATAGCCATACCACCCAAAGGACCTAAGTGATAGGAATCGTGATAAGAGCTCTTTCTCCTGACCCCTTACACATCCTTAGTCCTTTTGACCCTTGTCATGATATGTCATTAAATATAGCATAAAAAACAATGTTCAACAGGGCTCTTTGGAGAAATGGCTAATTCCAAGGCTGGGATAGGATAGGTACAAGGTGAACTATTTTCTTTTCTTTCTTTCTTTCTTTTTTTTTTGTGGTACATGCCCCTAGCGCCAGGACTCTCTGGTCCGCAGGCTGACGTTCAACCGCTGAGCCAAACTGGCCAGGGCAGGTGAACTATTTTCTTTATCTAGAAATACTTTTGCCTCCTTTCTGCTAGCATCTACTGAAATCTATTTTTTTTTTCCTTTATTGATTTTAGAGAGAGAGGAAAGAAGAGGGAGAGATAGAAACATCGATGAGAGAGAACATTGACTGGCCGCTTCCTGCATGCCTCCCACTGGGAATTTGGCCCACAACCTGGGCATGTGCCCTGACAGGGAATCCAACCAGTGACCACTTGGTACACTGGTTGATGCTCAACCACTAAGCTGGACATATCTTGGTATTTCTCCCTCTTGCTCACTCATCTCTAGTCATATTGGTCTCCTTTCTGTTTCATGATCTCATTTTATTTTCTCTTGCCACAGGGCCTGTGCACAAGCTGTTTCCTTTACCCAACATATTTCTTCCATTCTTTTTGCCTACTTAACTCTTACTCAGCCTTTAAGTTTCAACTCAAAGGACACTGACTTAGGTAAATCTACCCTGTCTAGATTAGATCAGGTCTTCCCTGTTATAGGTGCTTATAACTCTGTGTCTTTAACTTCATAGCATTCTCATGGTTTATAATTATGTATTTGTATAGAAATTCATTCGGAGAGTCCGACAGACAGGGACAAAACAAGAAAAGGTAATGGTAGGGTTAAGGGAGTAGGCTCTGGAATCAAACTGTTGGACTTAAATCTTGTCTCCACCACAAACTAGCAATATAATTTTAGGTTTACTGTGTGCTTTGGTTTTGTCACTTATAATACCAGAATAATAACAGTATTTACCTTAAAAGGTAATTATCAGAATTTAATGAAATAGTGTATGTAAAGAGATTAGAATGACTAGCAGATTTATGTGCTGAATGATATGTAGCATCATTATTAGTTTTCTTTTTGTACTGTCAGTGTTTTGATTGAAAATGATGACTGTTTGAAATTCTGAACACCCAAAAATTTACCTAGAAGCCTTTTTTTTTATCCTCACCCGAGGACATTTTTCCATTTTTTGTTCAGGTAGAGTGGGAGGGAGAGAGAGGAACAGAGAGAGAGAGAGAAACATCGATGTGCAAGGAACACATCGAGTGGCTGCCACCCGCACAACCGACCAGGGCCGGGGACAAACTCCAACCGAGGCACGCGCCCTTAGCGGGAACCGAACCCGGGTCTCTCCAGACCGCAGGCCCACGCTCTAACTGCTGAACCAAACCAGCCAGGGCTAGAAGCATTTTTGATGCTTTAAAATAAAGAAGTAAGTTTAAAAGATGTTAACCTCAGGATGCAAATGAACATCAACTGTTTAACATTCATTTATCAAAAGCTAGAAGAAAAACTATTCAAGATAAATAGACTCTAAATTTTTGGGATTTTAAATATGATGTAAAATTTATACCAGAATATACATTGGTTATAAGATAGTTAGAATGACAGTATCTTGCTCTTACTTCTTTGCCCCATGATATAGTTTAAGTGATTTAAAATGGTGAATTAAAGTCTGGCCGGTGTCACTCAGTGGTTGAGTGTTGGCCCATGCACCAAGAGCTCACCGGTTCGATTCCCGGTCAGACACATGCCCAGGTTGTGGGCTTGATCCCCCATGGGGGGCACGCTGGAGGCGGCCAATCGATGTTTTCTCATTGATATTTCTCTCTCTCTCTCCCTTTCTCTGTAAAATCAATAAAGGAAAAAAAAAGAAAAACAAATTAAAATAGTGAATTAAATGAGAACCTCAAGTTCCCTTTATCTCAGTCCCAATTGATATTATCATCCCTACTATTTCTGTATATTTTTAGCTTTTCCAACGATATCTGAACTTTCTTTGAAGGCAGAGAATATGCTTTCTATTTATTTACCAGTTTCATAAGCATTTGGCATAAGCATCAAAATAAGACTCAATTCTATAAATGCAATTTTGTTGTCTTTTTTTTTTTTTTTTTATCCTCACCCGAGGATATTTTTCCATTTTTTGTACAGATAGAGTGGGAGGGAAAGAGAGGAAGGGAGAGAGACAGAAACATCGACGTGAAGGGACACATCGAGTGGCTGCCACCCGCACGACCAACCAGAGCCGGGGACAAACTGCAACCGAAGTACGTGCCCTTAGCGGGAACCGAACCCGGGTCTCTCCGGACCACAGGCCGACGCTCTAACCGCTGAGCCAAACTGGCCAGGGCTTGTTGTCTTTTTTAACTTGACATTATATAAATATTTTTACATGTACCTTAAAGATACAGCCTCATATTTAATGATTTCATGGTATTCATTTATATAGCATGATTTATTTGAACAATATAATTTCTTATATTTTTATAAAACTGATTCCCTTATCCATTATAAGACATAAAGGCTCTGATTAAATATATATTTTGATTACTAGAAAATACATTATCAAGTATACTATAAATCGAGTATCATTTATCAAACAAATGTAAATAATATTTAGAATATTACTAGAATGTAGAATTGAGTGGACAGGAGGGAGGGAGAGAGAGAGAAACATCAATGTGAGAGAGACACATCGATGGGTTGCCTCTCACACAACCTCAAGCAGGGCCAGATATTGAACCTGTAATCCAGGTACGTGCCCCTAACTGGGAATTGAACCTGAGACAGCCTCCCAACCCCCAACCCTCGGTGCTTGGGCCACTGTTCTAATTGCTGAGCCAAACCAGCCAGGGCAAAAGTTTCAAAATTTTATGTGAATACTTACTTTACAACTTTGCCATACTTGGAAAATATCTGAAACAAAATACCACATAGTAATTTACAATTTAACTTAAAAATCACACAAAAACATTAAAATTTCTGGTTGTATACACTGACTACATTCTTTGTTATATTTTATGAAAAATTTTAGCCCTAAGTCTATAAAACAGACCTAGATGATATGTTATTTTTGTGTGACTAAAATCATATCCTTAATTTTGTTATTGCATTCACAAGTATCTGTCTCAGTTCCTAAATTTCTGACAAACAAGTACATTCAGAGGAAAGAAAATACCCCACTCTTCATGTGTGGTAGATTGAAGGCACACATTGCATAGTTGCTGTGTTCCTGTGATATATCCATGGCAACTATCAACCCCACCATAGTTCCAGAGAAACCTTGTATTTCAAATAACGATGTTGTATAATATCATTATTCCTAGCCTACCCCCACCCAGTCAAGAAATCACTGTTTCAGAAGACAGATCCTTAGAATGCTTATAGAACAAAACCTAAAACAAGAAAACGTCTATAATGAAAATCCATTCCCATCAGTCTCCTTCTGCCCACCCTTAATATGTTGGTGGAACTCTATACTTGGCCCTTTGTTCTCCTTTACTTCTACATCTTCACCCTAAGCAATCTCACCAATTTCTACTGTTTCAGCCAATACTTATATACAAATAGTTCCTATTATATAATGTTTAGAACAGTCTTTAGAATACATTAATATATGCAATCAATAATAATAGAGTTCTATGATTAACTTGTGTAATGCCGGAATGTGATATAATTGGATTGCAGTGTTAGCCACACTGAATTCTGAAGACCAGTACAGACAGCTTTCCATATAACATTTTCAAAAGGCTTCTCATTTTACTCAGTCCTTGCCATTATCTATGTAGGCCCTATAAGGTGCCCCTGCATGACAGCTGCTCCTCTTCTCCCCACTTGTTTTACTCTGTGCCTGAAATGCATATCCCCTAGACATCTGCACAGCTGCCTCTTACTTCTTCAGGTCTTTATTGAAAAGTCACCTTCTCAATAAGGCTTTAGACAACTCATGTAAAACTTCACCTCCATTCCCAACCTAACATTTAATGACCCTCCTTTCCTTTTTCTCCTTAGCACCAACATCTTAGCATTAACTTTGTATCTAACAAGTAACATCATTTGACTTTTTAATATTTCACATTGTTTGTCTATCCTTATATTGTGAATGCCAAGAGGGATTTTCATCTTTTTGTTCACTGATGTGTTCCTAGTATCTCTAAGAGTGCTCAACACACAGTAAGTGTTCAATAAATACAGAAATGTCTCTTATTTTGTATCAAAGAAAGCTAAAGTTAATTTTCTCCTCTTTTGGGATTCAAACTATCTTAATTAAGTAATTAATCAAGTACCATGTATCATCACCTATGCAGCATCTCTACTTAACATCTACCTAAAGTAGCAGAGAGAAGAGGGCAAACTTGGAAGAAAGGATTCACCTTATTCCTTCCAGTTTTTTTTTTCAACCACCCATCTGCAGGAACTTTGTTCTCTGTTGGGTAAAGAGGTGAAAGATGTTGGAAGGGACATTTCCCCCCTCAATCACTTCTATCCTGAATTGAAAACAAAATTCATTAAACTGTTGTTTCTGCCACATAGGTAAACTAAGATATACTTTCAGAATTTGAGGGTTAGGAAACAATGTTTGCTTCCATCAGCCCTTGCCTCCAAAACCCCCACAACAGTTTCAAGAGCCAAGTAAGCAAGCAGGAAATCAGCCTATCACAAGTTGTTCCAACTTCATTACCCTAGCTTTGTCTTCTGTGTTCATAAAGAACTTGTTATTCTCTATAAAAGCACTGCAAATTATCTTTGGAAATTATGAGTGTCTGATTTCTTTTTATGAACTCACGTTTGTAATAGAAGTCTTTGGTATTAATGATTTAAGTGCATTGCAATGTAACTTACTAAAAATTTTTGCCAAGAACTGTTTGCTTGAGCTACGACTGTTTCTCAGAGTTCAGAAGATAACAGCACTAATACTAAAACTTACTTACCCGATATAAGTCATTGTTGGTCAGGGAAAAGGGCAAGTTGGATACATACACTGTGCTTTTACTTGGGGCCAATCCACCACTCATTTCTAAAAAGGAAAACAAAAAGACCCAAAAGCAATCTAGAGCAGGTAGTCTTCATTCCAAGTAAAACCCAATACAGGCAATCACTGATTTAACTGCGTCAGATTCATACACTTTCCTTACTTCTTAGTAATAGTTCAGGATAATGACTCCTTTTGGGTGAATTAAGGAATTCCTTTTCTCTAGGAACCACTTAAGAGTTTTCGGGTCCTATTTCAAGTGGATTCTTTGCACTAACCCTCTTAGTGCTGGTTTGTAGTGTGATTGGAGAGGTGAGTTTTAAACAGATGAAGGAAAATCTCTGAGGCTACTCTTAACCTTCCCTAAGGCTAAAAGCAAAAGTGCTTTCAGATATGCATAATACCTTGCATACACGAAGCAGAAAGAGCCTGGGCCTTCAGAAAGAACCTAAGCCACTGATTTTCACTAATACTTGTTTGGGTACCTTTCTGGTTGTCTTAATATTTTTCTCTGGAGTGGCATGAAGAGAAAATTTTAGCTCCACATTTTGATGCGCATAATATTCTTTCAAATCACTAATTTTGTAGATTTTTTTGCTAAATTATGAAATGACACATTTTATTGTATGAAAAGGTTTCATTCAATGCCTTGAAGGATACTGACCTTCAAGGATATGTATTTTTAAGTTTTAAAATATAATCCGTAATTTCCATTCGTATTTTACAAAGCCAGCAGACTATCTGAAAATTATATCTAGCTCGACCAAGGTTACATTTCGATTTTAAAAGAGTGTGTGGTATGTATTTAAGAAGAGGGTACGGACTATCACAAACGGCAAAACATTGATTCGAAGACGTGCCAATTCGCGAAGTAAAAGGAAAACTGCTTGATACTGGGATGCTTTGGCGGATTTATTTAGACTTCAGAAACTCAACAGCGATCAGCTGCTTTCGAAAAGTCTCCCATTTGAAACTTTTGACCCGTTAGCCGTTCTGGTGAGAACTGAGAAGGAAGCTAACGGTCAAGGTCCCGGGATAAAAAGGGTGGCGGGAGAAAGGACCTGGAGTCGGCTGTCGGGTCTGGGGAGGGGCCCGCAGGAGGAAAGGCCGCAGCAGAGGAGGCGTTTACCTTCAGGTGGGGCGGGCCCGGGAGATCTGAAGAGCGTGAGCCCTCGGCTCAGTTGGGGCTCAACCCCGACAACTGCTCGCTCCCCGCAGCGGCCTTGGCATCGCGGGTACTGGGAGGGGTCCGGCGCCGCACGACCAGGAGGCGGCTGCAGCAAAGCCTCTTCCCGGCTCTCGTTAGACGGGGGCGCCGGAGGCGGGCCCAGACGCGGGCGCCTTGGCTGACGTCTTGCGCGCGCCGGAAGTGCCTGGCTGGAGAACGGCGGCGAGCGCCTTACCACATTCACTGAGTCTCCCCGCGGCCCAGAGTCGGTGAGCGTGTTTTACCTTTGTGAGAGGTGGACCGGGACCGGGGCGCTTAGAGGGGTGGCGGCGGGCGGACGGGCGTTTTCCATGGGGGGACTTGGAGTCCCCCGCTGCATTTGAATCGTGCAACAATTATGCCTCCGCAGTTAAGGGTGCACAGACGCAGTGGAGTTTGGAATAAAGGAAAAAGTGTTAAGTATGAGATACAGATCGTTTCTCATTAGCGCCTTAATATGCAAAAAGAGGACCGCGCTAGGTAACTTCAGTGATCCTAGAAATGTTAGAAGTCGGTAAATTTACTGAATGTGTTCGACGTACCCAGTTCGGTATTAGGTACTTGGAGAGCTACAAAAAAGTGTAAAACAGGCATTTTTTTTTTTTTTTTTCTGGCGGATATCTTAATTTAGTTGGGGAGACTAGGTCAACTTAATCCAATTGGGGAGACAAAGTCAACTTGGATTCATCTTGAGTATTGGTATGGACAAATGTTGAACTTCCTGGCACCTTTTTTTCTTCCTGTAAATCTATAATGGGCGCACACAGCTTTTTTTCTAAAAGGATGTATACAGGCCCATCGATCCTACAGAAAAATCAGAAAATAATGCAAGGTAGTTTATACTTAACTTCTACCCACCAGCACACACAGACCAGGCCTCTAACCACTCCATGGGAGCCTGCGTGCCAGCAACCTGGAACCCAGAGCCTTTCCTGGAGCCTGCACAATCCAGACTGAAGCCGATGTCTTACAGAGAGACCGAAGTGCAATCCAACCAGGACACAGCTGAATTTTGAGAGGCCTGAATGCCTCGCGTCCACCAGGGGACTGCTGGGACTAATTCTCTTGGCAAACTTGTGGCCAGCCAAAACTACCATGCTTCACATCCCCGTTATCCTTGGTTACCGCCCAAGATGTAAGCCCCTTTGGTCTTCTATGCTACTACACCCTCATCCCCATGCTGCTTTGTGCTTCCCCTCACTTAATTTAGGCTATCACTGCTTCTCCCTCTTTTTTTTTTTTTTTCTACATTTCACCCCTCAACACACCTGTGCTCTTTGAAACCTCTATTCCCTGCCTAATGAACTCTTACATACTCAAGTCACTTTATGGAAAGTCTCTTTCGCCTCCTGACCTTAATTAACACTTGGCTTTTCCCTCCAGCCCTTTCAATCGAACCTTTCTCTGACACCTGCTTTTCAGATTCCGTGATGGCTGTAGCCATGTTGAACTGATTTCATTTCCTTAAATGCTTTGTCTCTCCCTCAGGGTCTTTGCGAAGGTTCTTTTCTATCTCTGTGGCATTTGTTTTCCCTGACCTCTTTCTTGACCATTTCTGTGCCTGCTAAATATCAGTTTAGCTGTCTCTTTCTCTGAGGGTTATTTCCTGACTTCCCATATACAGAGTTAGGTACCCCAGCCATGTGCTAAGTGCCCCCCACTTCCCTCATCATAGCACTTACCTCTTGTATCCTATTTGCTTGTCTCTTTGCCTTTCAACTAAGGTAGGCTGAGGGGGAGGGACTGTATTTGTCTTGTTTATTTTTGTAACTCCAGTGCCGAATCCCCAGATATTTCTTGAATGATTGCAATGCTGCAGGTACAGTCTCTGAAGTCACACAGTTGACTGTCATTTCGTGATTTTAAGATGTAAGAACTGTTCAAAAAGGGTCATTTGCTGCCCGGCCGGTGCAGTTCAGTGTATTGAGCATTGTCCCATAGACTGAGAGGTTCCCCGGTTTGATTCCCTGTAAGGGCACATGCTGGGATTTCAGGCTTGATCCCCAGTAAGGGGTGTACAGGAGGCAGCCAATCAATGTTTCTCTCTCACACATCATTGTTTCTATCTCTCTCTCCCTCTCTCTCTAAAAAATCAAAAGAAACATTTTTTAAAAAAAGGGTCATCTGCTACTCAGCTACAGCTCATTGAGGCTATGGGACTATGGGACCCCAGAGTTACCAGAGCATCCATTTTTTTCCAAGGAAAGTTGGGAGAAATAGTTTTTAATTTTATTTTATTTAAAAATATGTTTTTATTTTTATTTTTTTTTGAGAGAGAGTGGAAGGGAGAGAGAGATAGAATCATCGATGTGAGAGAGAAAACATTGGTCAAGCTGCCTCCTGCACTCCCCGTACTGGGGATTGAGCCCAAAACCCAGGCACGTTGCCTGACCGGGATCCGAACCAGGACCTCTCAGTCTATGGGAGGATGCTCAATCCACTGAGCCACACTGGCCTGGCACATTTTTTTTTTTTTAAGTGATATCTCCCAGTTTTTAAGTTTTGTCAATGGAATACAATTTTATTAAAAAAAAAAAAAATTGGGCCAAACAAGTCACATGTGGCCTGTTAGTTTGGATTCTGTTTTAAGTGTCATAGGGTTTAGAAATGGGCTTTGTGGAGAATAATAGATTTTGAACTGGACCTCTGCTGGATGGTTGGAAGTTGAATAAGATAATGGAAAGAGGTATTCCAATTTGGGAAATAAGTCAAACAACTCCAGGGCAGTGTGTGTTACCTTGTGGCACAGTGAGGAGGCTGGCATGAATGATCCTTCTGGAGAGAACAGGAGGTTAAATGAAATGATAGAGGGGGCATATGGAGGGCAGAGAAATTTGGATTTGTTACAGTTAATAAGAAACTATTTGGATTCCTGATTAGGGAAACTTCAGATATGAATGATGTATTAGCAAAGTGAATTAACTTTTTTTTTTTTTTTTTTTTATCCTCACCCGAGGGTGTTTTTGCATGTATCATCAGATAGAGCAGGAGGGAGAGAGGGAAGAAGAGAGAGAGAAACATCGATATGAGAGAGACACATCAAGTGGTTGCCACCCACACGATCCCAATCTGGGCCGGGGACAAACTGCAACCGAGGTACGTGTTCTTAGTGGGAACTGAACCCAGGACTCTCTGGTCCGCAGGCCTACACTCTAATTGCTGAGCAAAACTGGCCAGGGCTGATTATCTTTTTTTAAAGAGTGAAATGGAGAGTAAAAGACTGGAAGGAGGCTGGCCAATTAAGACTGTAACCTCCATCTAGATGTGAAATAAGATTTAGATTTGTAATCACATAGAAGCAGACATCTGGTATTTTTGTCTATGTAATTTTAGTTATTTGATCACTACAATGGACAATCAGGAATCTCCTACTATAAGTATTTAATACAATATGGTGGGTCTTATGAAAGAAGTACCCTTAAAGCATTGAAATATCAAGTAATTTGTGAAACTAATAGAGAATGCAGTACTTAACAGTTCTAAATCCCATGGTTCACTATGAGGCAGTCAGTGGTCTCCTTTTCTCTAACCTCATTTTGTTAATCCATCTTGTTTACTGCCAGGATAATATTCTAGAATGACATATTTCCCCTAACCTTATTTCTAGGCTTATAAGCCTTCAGTGAATTCCTCTAGTTTTTTGGTATGTAGTGCCATTTAATGCCCTTGAATTTGTTTTCTCTTTCCTGTTTTGTTTGTGAAGCAAAGTGATATGATTGAAAGAGCTTGGGCTTTAAAGCCATGTCGGACTGTGTCTGATTCCAGGCTCCATTTGGCTCTGGGATTTGAGCTTTTCAGAGCCTCTATGTTTTATCTGGAATGGGAGGGATAATACCTCTTTATGTGGGAAAATGAAAGCTTGTTGAATACCTATGCAGGGCTGTTTCCTACTCTTTTGCAATGTGCATCTTCTGCTCTTGTCAGTTCCATCTTTCTTACTACACGTTGTTTTCCCTAATTCCTTTCCCCTTTCATAGCTTCTATTTACTATTGTTCATCCACATTTAAGCAATCTCTCAAAATTCTGTTTAAATTTTCTTAACTATCATTTTCTACATGTCTCTCTCCCTGAGCACTGAACAATTATTAATTCTAGGAGCTACTTTGCTATATTTTGATCATTAGCATCAATGTTAGTTTGTTTCCATTGACCTTAAATCCAGTAGTCCCTCGTCCCTTCATGCTTCGAGCGGCTCCACTCTGTCGCGGTTTTTTCTAATATAGTATAGGATTTGAAAAGACCCTGATAGAGTGAAGCCGCCGCAGTCGAAGTGCGAAGTGGCCAAGGGCGACTGTATATAAAGAATCCTACTTTGCGGAAATTCATTTATCGCGGTAGAATCTGGAACTGATTAACCATGATAAAAGAGGGCTGACTGTAACTATGTTCTAAAATTTATTTGTAGTTTAGTTGTCTAGAATTTTAAACATTTTCCAGTCGAAATACTATTATGTAGTTTTAGGTTGAAGACAGCTCTTAAAAGCTTCTTGATTCAATTTAGTATGTTAGGAATAGGTTTACCTTCTTTTAGATCAGTATATCTAATTCTGAGATGTGATATGATTTTAAAAAAGTGTCAGGGTCCTACCCCAGGCCAATTATATAGGGATTTCAAAGTATAGGGCCTAGGCATTGGTATTTTTAAAAGCTCTTTAGGTGATTCTAATGTTTAGCCAGGGTCGAGAATCTCTGCTTTGGGTGCTAGAGCTAAAAGATTCTTATTGGTACTTTTTGCTTAAAAATGATTTCATTTTTAAGTGCCATGGTTGGTACCTTTTGCTTAAAAATGAAATGGCATTAATGTCAATAAAAGTGTGACAGGAACTATAATAGTGCTCATTAAATACTCAGTGCTGAGTATTTAAAAGGTACAAAGTAATATTGATATTTTCCAGAATGGCTCATATGGTAGTCATGATTATTATGTTTATTTATTTGGCTAGTATTTAATAAGTACCTCTGCTAAGCAACAGATGTCAGAGAGGTACACAGTTATTCCCTTTGCAGTAACATTTAGTTTGAGAGGGAGAACAGTAAGAAAAGTTATATGATGTTATATAATAGTGTTATAGCAGGGTGCTTTAAGAAGCCCAAAGAAAGAACAACTTTATTATTTCTAAAGAGTATAAGAAACACAACAAAATCCATCAGATACAGTGAAAGCAGTCCTAAGGGGAAAATTTATAGCCTCATAGGCCTACCTCAAGAAAGGAGAAAAATTTCAAATAAACCATCTAACTTTATATTTAAAGGAACTAGAAAGAGAATAACAAAATCCAAAGTGAGTGGAAGAAAGAAATATAAAAAGATCAGAGCAGAAGTAAACAAAATAGAATCTAAAAAAAGAATACAGCCCTGGCCAGTTTGGTTCAGTGGTTAGAGCATTGGCCTTTGGACCAGAGAGTCCTGGGTTTGGTTCCCTCTAGAGGTGCGTACCTCAGTTGCGGTTTTTACCTCGCCCTGGTTGAGGTCGTGTGGGTGGCGGCCACTCGATGTGTCTCTGTCACATTGATGTTTCTCTCTTTCCCCCTTCCTCTCTCCCTCCCGCTCTATCTGAAGATAAATGGGGGAAAAAAATGTCCTTGGGTGAGGATAAAAAAAAAATACAAAAGATCAGTGAAACCAAGAGCTAATTCTTTGAAAAGATAAACAAAACTGACAAAACTTAACTAGACTCTGGTCAAGAAAAAAAGGAGAGAGGACCTAAAAAAGGAGAGAGAAATATCAACTGAGACCACAGGATTATAAGGAAACATGCCAACATAATCTGGATGAAATGGATAAATTCCTAGAAACATACAATCTGCTAAAACTCAATCAGGAAAAAGCAGAAAATATGAATAGACAGATTACAACTAATAAAATTGAAACAGTAATCAAAACACTTCCAACAAACAAAGCCCTGGCTTCACAGGTGAATTTTACCAAACATTCAAGAACTAACACTGTCCTTCTTAAACTATTCCAAAAAATTCAAGAGGAGAGAAGACTCCCAAGCTCATTTTACGAGGCCAGCATCATACTAATTCCAAACCAGATAAAGACACTACAAAGAAAGAAAATTTTAGGCCATATCCCTGATGAACGTAGATGCTAAAATTCTCAACAAAATATTAGCAAACCAGATCCAGCAA